ACACCAGCATCTCCCTTCAGCGTCCTCACCTTCGGGTCCGCTGATGCACTTGACCCTGTCGCGCTTCTCCACGTTGTAGGTGGCGAAGTACATGAACTGTCCGTCGGGCCTGTACGGCTCCTCGGGAGGGAAGAGCTGGCCGTAGCTGTGCGACCAGTGGAACACCGGCTGGCCGTGCTGCTCAGACAGCTGGCCATACACCTGGGAGGAGGGAGGAGGGGTGCTCACCAGCTCGACAAGTAAAGACAGCTGAGGAGGAAGGTAGGCACAAGAACCGGAGAGATCAGTCTATTCGTAAAGAAGCATCCGGTAGAGCAATGGAGTAAGAATAGGCGGAAGTACATTGTAACACTACAGCATGATAGAATATGTAACCAATCATTCTATTCTCCTTTATCATTATTTGATAAATTATCACGGAGAGACTGGTCGCAAGCTCTTTTATATTTTATGGTACAACAGATATACTAAGCGAATACTAAGCGAAGAAAAAACTGACTAAAAATCCATAAAATGATCCACTGGTTCACACAAATAACTCACCTCAAAGTATTTCTTGATAAACTTAAAAGGAATATACACTTCCTTGCCAGACTTTTTACAGTCTATTGAATACTCTTCATTGATATCACACCTTAGATCAGTCAGATCGTTTCCTTCGGTATCACGATTAAGCTGAAAAAGAGCAACGTGAATCAAAATAAAGCCAAACGAGGAATCAACACAATTCAACCAGGCATTATTGTCCTGATACAACCATTTAGTGACTCTACCATTAGTGCAATTAGAAAAAATATGATATCACTAACCTGTGACTGTCTCCTCTTGGTTGAGGAGTCGGCCGGCGCGGCGGTACTGGGCGGGCCCGGCTCGCCCCCGCAGCGGTTCCAGAAGCTCAGACTGAAGAGCAGGAGGATGATCGTGGCGAACAGCGCCGCCGATCTCGCCCACCAACGCATCCTGCTGGACAGTGATTTCACAGGTGTTACACCAGCCGATAGTCATACAGCTGTGATGGATACTGGGAGTGTGGATTCGATGGCTTTCAGTGAACCCCACTGCTGTCTAGAAAACTGACCCGTGCTCCAACTACAGGCATTCCACTTAGGGACAGCATCACAGTGAAAAGACATGTCTGCAGTGTACGTACTTTAATTTACCTGAATATTTCAAAGAATTGGCATGTATAGAGGTACAGCTCTAGGCAGGATTGCATAGCTTCTGGACAGTTTAAGCCAGAGCAATCGAAGGAGGGGCAGCACCTGGCCCTAGGCTGGATATTACTATGGGCATTCAGCTTGCACTGACCCCAAATTTCAGGAAGCCCCCGCCCATATCACCCCCCAAAAAAAGTCCTTGCATCGATCGCAGTTGCCTTGCAAAAAGGGTCTTCTGATAGTCTAATTGAAGTCTCAGAGGGCCAACACCATTACCTGAATGCCTCATGCTGGTATGAGGCAACCTCACGGCTCACAATGTCTTGAGAGGGATTGGGAGGCTTTGGTACTCAGTACAACCATATGAGTCTGGAATATTATGCCCTCCTCCCCCTCCCCCGACCCACACGCAAACAGGACCACACTGTATGACAGTTTTAATATCACAATGGCATAGGCGGCGGAACGGGGAGGGCACCGGGGCACCGTGCCCCCTTTAATTTTGGCATTTTAACATTAGCCCTATGGGCGTTGCATGGAAAGAATGGGACCAAAAGTCGGCAGTGCCCCCCCCCCCCCCTATTGAACATGTTCCGCCGCTACTGCACAATGGTGTAAGGTCACTTTGCCCATGTAGATTGTGGAATTGTTGTGAATATTTTTTTCAAGCAAAATGAAGAGTTGGTAGCACTGCAGAGTGCAGGGAAGTCAGTTTGTCCAGCCTGAGGACAACACTGAGGCAAACCAGCACACCTAAATGCATGGGTGATGGGTGCAGGCCTGATCAGTGATCTGCTTTAAAATATCTCCTTCACTTTAGTGGAATGTCAGAAGACCAGAGATATCGCCTTGCTTTATGTCCTTGAGCAGCCTTCTAGACTGCAAGACCATAGAAATAAAGAATAGCCACACTTTGGTCAGGGTTGTCATTAACCTTTTGGTTGAAGCACACCCAAATGGCAGGCATACCATTAGATTTTAGGTAAGTTTTAAGGCCTGCGCCCCGTAGGGGGGGGGGCCGAAACGGCCCCCCCCCGTCCTTTTCGGTCGATATCTCCCAAACGGCTGGAGATATCGCCACCAAACTTTCAGTACCCCTCCGGGCATCAATTTTACACATTGTGACTAAAATTTTTCCAGAGGCTATGATAGGTTGGCCACAAATGACGTCAGAATGACGTCATGTTCTGTCATTTTCGACCGAAAAAAGATCTTCGCGAGAAGACCTGTCAGGCCTACATCGTTGAAGATACAGAAAAAATGACCAAGACATAAAAGGTGTAGAATTGACAGGGCTACAAAATTGCTATCTCGGATTTTTGAAATTTCTGAGTTTTGACCCCCAAAAATCAAAAAAGCATTTTTGGATATATTAGCCAAAAATCCAAAAAGTTTTTTGAGTTTCGAAAAAAACGGAATATATGTGATAGTACCTACCGTCTTCTATCTACATACCAAATTTCAGATCGATACCTCATTTTTTGGCCAAGTTATAGCGAAAAAAAACTGTTCAAAAATGCTGACAACAAATTTTCAAACTCAATTTTTGGCAATGCTAGACCTCGTAGAGCAAAACAAAGACCACAATTAGACTCCCCGTGACGATCTGCATCGAATTGATACCCATTTTATGCAAAAATATCAACTTTAAAATTTGACCTAATTTGACCTGACCTTGACCTGACCTTCACTAAAACGTGACCTAGGCTGGCCCCAAAGGCTGCCTAACCCACATAATCGCATTTGTCATGTAAAATGGACCATAAACCATGTATCACATGACACTTTCATAATGTGACCCCCAGTGACCTGACCTCGCTGTGACCTGACCTGGTATCAGTGACCTCAGATAGCAAAGTATGTGTTTGACGAACAATGTACCATCGATGGTTTTCAATAAATTACCAATTTACTCTATTTCACAACACATTTCTTGAAATGCCTGTGAACGGTGAAAATCTGACCTTTGACCTGACCTGTGACGTCATCGGTTTGACCTAGGTCAATGAAATTTGGTCAGAAGGTAGTTCCCGGGTGGGGCTATCGAACGCCGTTTGAATTTTGAAAATCGGCCGGTAACTTTCCGAGATCTTGGGGGGCCTAAGCGGCCCCCCTACGGGTGGTAGGGTCCGCCGGTAGCCCTACGGGGCGCGGGTTAAAGCAGATGTTATGCAGCTTTAAAACTGCATTAAACAAGGCTTGATAATGCTCATTTCTATGCAAAAGAATTTCAGTAGGCCGAATTATGGTCAAGCGTGCCCATTTAGGGAACGCCTTTTCGTTCCCATATGTGGAAACTCCGATCCAAAAATGGGAACAATCCTATATTTGGACTGGGTACTCATGACCATAGTTTCGCCTAATGATTTAAACTGAGGTGGCATGCCAATTGCAAGAACAACAAAAGTTTTGGCATTTGCAGTGCAAGGACACAAGTGCTTTATTTGAAGGTCACCAAGCCATCCTGCTTGGAAGGTGCAAGAATTGGAATATGCTGAACAATTAGCAGAACCCATTGTTGGACACACTGATTACCTACCTACCAGTTACCAGACATGTGCACAAATCCAAAACAACCAAACACAAAAACAAGATGGCTATTAATTAACTGTCTTAAAACATGAAATTGTGGAAATTATTGCTTGTAAAAGCCTCAAAATGAGCTCACTTTTTTGCATTCTTTCAGAGTTGACAGTTTTTAGAAAATACCACAAGATCCATTTCGGATCCATGGTCCGGGATCATTACAGTATTATGACGCAAAAGCCAAAAGAACATGTAAATGTCTATACTCACACTATATTCAGTTTGAAAAGTGAAAACTTTTAACAATTCATTGCCTAAGATTTATGGTAGGTAGCAAAATATCTCTATCTTTAGCTGCAGTTCAGGCACAGAAATAATAAGTACAACTCTGGCCTATATATGGCTTTGACTCTGCCGATGAGTCAACCCCAACCTGCTTGACTTTAAATACAACAAAAACTGACGGAAGCAACAAACTAAAAACTCGACCAAGGCCATACAACTCGACTATAACGTTTTTAAAATCCACACATTATAATAATTTTCAGTCCCGAATTGGGACGCCTTGATTGGGACATAAAGTAGATTTCTATTCATAAGCGACGCTCGCAAGAGCAGCCCAGACGCTGATTCGCCAACACACGAAAAAGTAGCAAACGATAGTGAAAAAAGCAGTTTGGATCAAACGCTGAACACATCAAAAGTGTCTTTGTGCGCAATGACTGTAAAAATGTGGAATCTTCTTCATAAAGGAAATTTGGTATTTTTTCGCAGTATAGCAAGCAATACCCTACACGAGTACTCTTGCCTTCGACACGCCCGCATAACCCGCATAACCTAGAAACGTACCAAAACGATGTATTGCAATCCGCATCTTGGTCCGGAATCTTATACCATGAATGGTCATCGAATGCCTACTAGTGGTCATTTAGTCTAGCGCGAGAAGTTTGTACGACGTGTTTGTACGACCTGCTTTCTAAAAAACTTACTTTCACCAATGAGTGGTCAGCAGGAAACTCGGTGCTTGGTTACCTTGGAAGTTGCACCGTCGACCTAAAAGCTTATAGGCTCAGGCCTTGCACAGATTTGGATACTCAGATCTTGCGATACTTTCTTTGATCCAACGCCTTGGATCCAAATCGGACCCTCCCCATTTAGGTCGAAAAACCGAAGTAAGGCACCACTATTGGGTATTAGCCGCCATCTCATCACAGAAGAAATATAATCCAAGAAGCAGTAGCATTTTTTATATGAAATGAAAAATGGGGCAATAAAACAAATTGTAAATTGCATCCGCCAACGAACATAAAAATAGTATGAAATAAAACACGCTACATGTATTATGGCGCACATATAAGCAAAGGTGAGACAGCCTAAGCTCTACAACAATCGATCGATTCACACACGATACGTTACCAATAGTACTCGCCGTTCAATGACCAGATAAGCACACAATAAGTAATAAACATAAATCACTAACAGCTAGACGAGCATCACAAGTTCGTAACAGCAGACAGTTAAATACGCTCGCTAAGCGAAGACACCCACACTGCGCACAAAGGCACCTTTCCCAGCACACTATGCCGACAGACTAGATGACGATAGACAGCAGCTATCCCACCGCGGGCGAATCGGATCGGAGTAAAACACAGCGGCAGTGGGAAGCGCGGATACCAGCCGGAACGCAGCGGCGAACAGTCAACTCAGCGGCTACCGCTACCCGAATTAATCCACTTTGGCGGAGTCTTGAATCAGATGCCGCACGGCAAAGAGCAGAACATTAATTGCTTGGATCAATGCACATCATCGCTCGCGATTTCAGTACGCAATGGACTTTCACTTTATGCTACGGATAGCATCCCATAATATGACCAGGAAAGAACGCTATTAGAGACGTCCCCTATGGTTATCCCCTATCCGACCCCGGCGACGCTTGCCCTACTGTGCGTGCCCTGTGCGCTATCCGCTACACCGGCCACGGTGGAAAGTCAAAGCTGCACACTCACGCACACACACATCCCGCGCCGTACCAATAACACAGCCCCGTTGGCCACCGGACAATTTCTCATCGAAAGTTATCACAGGAAGGACCCTGCCCCCGAGGGGAGATGCGACATTGCAACACGTCCGATTAAGACACTTTTCTGCACGATGGTAAATTCGAGGGCACATTGAAACGGAGGCTGCATACAACGCTTGGAAGGGTCCGTTGTCACAACAAGCACACATTTGTTCCCTTTTAAGTAGTGATGCTGCGCATGCTGAATGATAAAGATGTGATTCTACAGATCTCTCATAGTTCAGCAGAGATGCATCGACGATAGCGATATCATCATGCACATCTAAACATAAGCCGAAGGTATCTAGAAATTTAAGTAAAAAGACTGCTAAAGCATGAGGATATAATATATCCCCATGGAAAATTCTCCGGCCAGCTTCTCCAAAGTTATTAGGAGATATGGCTTAGCAGTTAAGTAATTAGTTGAAACACTGAAACAAACATGGGAGAATGCCTCTTCAATTTATCATTGTGTATACCTACGCTCCAAATCTTGCTCCAAAAGTTTATAATCACTCATCCAGTTAGGGTTCCAACAACGAGAAATACAATGTTGGATACGTGAAGCAATTGAGTTTCAAAGCAGCTGCAATCAACTAGTACTGATGGACAAAATATAAGGCATGTTTTACAACTTTTCCTTTGAATTAGTTAGTCTTCAAATTAAGTAGCAATTAGATGTCTGAGCTCAGAAATAACATATGGATGGTCATCTACATCAGGTACAGATCCTATGTTTAGGTGAAAAATCACTGTGAAGTGAAGGAGCTAGCTTGTGAAGATGCACAAGCCGTGTCGGGCGGATCGGCTGCACGGCTCATCACCCGCAGCCCGTGTTCCCTGGCCAGACGTATGGGGGATGCACGCAGTGACAGAGATGTGACATGGGTCTAGTGTGAGCCGGCCACAGAAGGCAGGCGGCGACTACTCCTCCTTGATGTCTTGTCGGGCGTCGCCGGAGCGCAGCACCCGCACGGCGCCGCGGGCCATCAGAGCGAACCAGTGCAGCTGCAGCGCCAGCATCAGCACGTTACCCGTGTGGCAGTACCACGGAATCTTGGCCAGCACCTGCCGCGGCGGAGGGTAGGGGTTAGTGAACCGTGGACCAGAAACCGGCAACGAAGTACACAGCCTCACCCCGTCTGTATACACTTCGGCTGGGTGGCTAAGGTGAGACTGGACTGCAATGCAGGAAAATCCTATCTCAAGGGGCAATTTAAGTTCAAAGCTGATTCCGTCCGATAGGAAACTCTTATCGTGAACGCGAAGTGGGATGGTTTAGGGGTGGTCCGAGCCTGGGGAAAGAGCATGTACACTTCAAACAAACACATCACCCTAACCGAGCATCCTTGCCTCAAAATGATTCATTCTGGTGTCCTGGTGAGAAAATATCCAAACGCACCCTAATTTTGCCGTTCCGTACCACAGCGTACAAAATTACCGCATACAAGCTCAGTAGAACTTCTCACGTACGTTTTCCGGTCAGTGGCAATATCACCCTTCATCTGGCGTTGAAAATGTCGACAAAATGCCACTTGACCAATGCGTTCTTTTATCTAATGTCTATTAGCCCGCGCCCGGCTGGGGGTCCTGGATTTCCACGCCCTGCTGGGGGGGGGGGGGGGTGTTCGAACACCCCCCCCCCTTCTAACTCGGCTCCTGGGCCACGTAGCGATACGCGGAAGGCGGCGTTCGAAAGAGCGTAAAAAATAATGAGGAAATAACTTCGGTCGATTTTCTTGTCAGGTCAAAGGTCAGGTCACCAGAGGTCATTGAAGGCAAAATTTCGCCGATTTCCAGGTCGAATGTCGACGATTTCCAAGAAGCCAACGCATAACTCGGGAACCAATAGAGCTACAGCGCCACGGAAAAGCGCATTCGATAGCGCTATTAACGCCCTTTCTGAGTAATTTTCTCAGATTTGACCTAACGTCAACGGTTTTGCCTGCAGGGGGCAAAAACTGCAAAAATAGCCGATTTTTTTTGGAAAGTTTTTTCTGCAATAACTTTTGACCCAAGCCTTGTACGAGCTTACTTTTACCGGCATCGTGTTCCTCTCGTCAAGACGCATCGAATGAACTATAACTTGACCTTGAAAGGTCAACTTGAAAATTTGACCTCAGGTCAAAGTCATGACCTGACCGGAAAGGGTCATGTTGCATATCAGTCGATCCGTATCGTCGAGCTGAACACATCTAAGGCGTTTTCATCGCTCTAGCATGCCTCTATCAAAAGTTATTTGCGAAAAACTGTTAGATACCATTCGTGACCTAAGATGACCTCAGGGCATAAACAGGGGTCACGGACACCATTCCCATGCTCAGTGTGTCTAAACCACTTGTAATTCAGTGTTTGGGAGTGTTTATAATGTCTTTCGTCCAAAAGAGGCGCATTTCAATTTTCTCCCATTGACTTATAATGGGGAGGCCGCAAAATTGACCTGACCTTAGGTCATTGATATCAAAATTCTGAGATATACATTTTGTACATGGTATTGCTCTTAGCAATCGCTGAAAGTTTCAAAGCGATCGGTCACTCGGTGTAGCTATGACAGACATTGTAACTTTTTATGAGGTGAGGTCACTTCAAGTGACCTGGTGACCTGACCTTGAATGACCTTGGTCTGAAATTTTCACAACATGTGTAGAATTGATGTATGATAAGGTGTACCAAAAACGCGCCGCCGTTTTTGAGATATTTGCGAAAAACCACAAGGGGGGTGTTCAAACACCCCCCCCCCCCAGCATGGCGCGGGTTAATAACCACGAATCGTTGGAACATAACTTACCTGTATGACTGACACTTCGTACGTTCTTGCACAGGCGACGTACATAAACGGAAATATGAGAATGCGGCAGATGAAGAATGCAACCACCATCATAACACCGTTCACCTTGTATAAGAGGGTGGTCTTTTTCTGAAAAGAAAGGGGACATTTCGATTTTCAATGTTCACTGATAAAAATAAGAAGCAAGGAATCAGAACACGCCATCATAAGCAAGTTTGTGAGCAAAATACGCACAGTGCTGATGTCTAGGGCTGTATTATCGCACTGTCATTTCATGCGAGTGAGATAGGTATTAATTTTTAAGCGATCCACGTACGACTTGTGCAGTGTGCTATGGGGAAAAATCTGAAAAAACTGAGACCGTAATATTTAGTCGGACCAACGTCTTGCCTACACAGCACTACTCACATCAAACGCGGCCAGTGTGGCTCTGAGCGCGACGAACGGTGTGCTCAGCTCCAGAAGGAAGAAGCAGCCGATCACAAAGTCGCCCCTGCTACCGCGGAGGTGCTGTAATATAACACAGGACACATCGGATATGTTAGGATAGCGAGCATGGTACTGTCAGCCAGGGAAGACTCGTTTGTCATTCTGATTGTTATATCGGTAGCCCAGGAAATCAGCACGATTAATAAGATATTTACAAAATTATCGATAACATATGTAAACGCATTCTCAGAGATTAAGCCGTTGCACTACCCCATGCGCGGTTCGACCCAGAACAGCGGCGACCGCACACCGTCTGCGAGCTCAACACTCACCAGCGCCACTGGGCCGCCCAGCAGCGTGATCGCCACGTGGTGGACGATCAGCAGCCGCTTGACGCGCACAAAGTCGCGCACGCGCTCCAGCAGCGAGCCGCGGTACTCGAGTTTGGCCGCGTGCACGCGGTACATGGCCCAGATGTCGTAGACGAAGTAGAGCAGCACCAGCCACGTCCAGTCGTAGATGAGCGGCGCGCGCGCGTTGATGATGTCGTGCCCGGTGCGGTTGACCGTGTACCAGCCGACGGCCACCGCCATCAGCGCGTTCACCGTGGCCACCATCCTGACAGAGCGGAGGACCAGCGTGTAAGTGTACACACTATGTATGTATGTAGGTGGACGTATACAGGAAGATAAGCAACATGCGACAATGCTAAGCTGGCGGAAACAACATTACTCCGTCTCCGATGCACAAGGCCTAAAACATCGATAAATGACGGAATCACGAGTGAATATCTTTTCGCAATTAAACAACAGAGTGCTCTCAATCAACAGAATGTTCTAAATGACAAATGGCGACCGTAAGGCGCACTGAAAGTGCTCTGCCGTGACAACCAAGAAAAGCGTAACTCGCATTTTTTCGATTTTGAGATTTTGATACGATTAGATAGAGAATAGCAATCTCCATCTTTCTGCAAAACCGTTTTTCGAAATTCGTATAATTTTTCGAGTTATATCAAATTTTCTTTTTCGAGAAAAGCGTAAATGTTTTTCATCCTCCCTGACCGCAAGCAAAAAAAGCGTAACTACAAACGCAGCTATTAAAAAAGCGTATCTGCAGCGGTCAGGACGATGTGATAGGCAAGAAAAGCGCAACTAAGTAGTTGCGCTTTTCTTGCTTATCACCTCGCTGACTTTTACGCACTTGCGCTTTTTTGCCTTTCAGGTGAAAGCATAACACTTGGTAGAAGTTTAATTTTGCCAGGAAAATTTGCATTAAAAATATATTAAGCCCTTCTTGCTTGCGTTTGCCGCCTTTCTATGTTTCACCAATATCTTCTAGTAGGTATCGGGGCGTTTAAATGGAGGAAAACTGTAAGATAAAAGCAACCAAAGTTCAAAACCACCAACTTGAAATAGTAGGTATAGGTATGGGGTGCCATGCCATACCCTGGACCAAGGCCACACGAGCGATATCAAATAGTTTACTTTATTTATTGTGGTGCATGCTCGCTGTGAACTCTATCAGAAGCGTGTGCAAATTGCGGTTTAGGAGCAGACTTGGTCTCTGAAGAGGTTTAGAACTGAAGCGATAAAAAAAAAAACGGAACAAAGGTCCACGTGCAGCTAAAGGAAAATGTGAAATCAGGAGTAGAGTCGAGCGAGTTCTGGTGAAATAGGACGACCAGGGGCGGGATCTTCCCACCTGCATTTCGACATCCCAGCATTAAGAGAGGCGACCCAACCCCACATGGCCGCCCGGCCAGCCAGCACCGGCAGAGCTGACCATATGGCCGCCCGGCTTGCCCGGTCTGCCAGCCCCGACAGGGGCGAGACCCCAAGGCCTGACCTGCCAGCACAGACAGGGGCGAGACCCCAAGGCCTTCTGACCTGCCAGCACCGACAGGGGCGAGACCCCAAGGCCTCCTGACCTGCCAGCACCGACAGGGGCGACCCCAAGGCCGCCCGACCCGCCAGCACCGGCATAGGCGACCCAACGGCCCCACGCCCGCCCGGCCTGCAAGCACCGGCAAAGACGACCCCACGGCCGCCTGACCCGCCAGCATCGGCAGAGGTGACCCCAAGGCCGCCCGGCTTGCCCGACCTGCCAGCACCGGAAGAGGCGATACAAAGGCCGCCAGGCGTCCCGACCTCCCAGCACCAACGGGGGCGACAGTCGACAACGTTGCCGCCCGGCCAGCGGCCTGCCTGACCTCCCAGCACCGACAGGGGCGACCCCAAGGGAGCCTGACCTGCCAGCACCGAAGGAGGCGACCCCACGGCCGCACGACCTGTCCGGCCTGCCAGCACCGACAGATGAAATCCCGCGGCCACCAGGACTGCCAGAACTGACAGGGGCGACCCCAAGAAAGCCTGACCTGCCAGCACCGAAGGAGGCGACCCCACGGCCGCTTGGCCTTGCAGCACCGGCAGAGGTGACCCCACGGCCGCCCGGCTTGCCCGACCCGCCAGCACCGACAGAGGTGACCCCACGGCCGCCCAGCTTGCCCGACCTGCCAGCACCGGCAGAGGCGACCCCACGGCTGCCCGGCCTGCCAGCAACGGCAGAGGCTACCCCAAGGCCGCCAGGCCTGCCAGCACCGGCAGAGGCGACAACGTGGCCGCCCGGCCTGCCCGGCGTGCCAGAACCGGTGGAGGCGAACCGACGGCCGCCCGACCCGCCAGCACCGGCAGAGCTGACCATTCGGCCGCCCGGCTTGCCCGACCCGCAAGCACCGACAGAGGTGACCCCACGGCCGCCCGGCTTGCCCGACCTGCCAGCACCGGCAGAGGCGACCCCAAGGCCGCCCAGCCTGCCAGCACCGGCATAGGCGACCCAACGGCACCACGGCCGCCCGGCCTGCCAGCACAGACAGATGAAACCCCGCGGCCGCTCGGACTGTCAGAACTGACAGAGGGGAAAACGTGGCCACCCGGCCTGCCAGCACGAAATGAGGCGACCCCACGGCCGCCCGACCTGCCAGCACCGGCAGAGTTGAGCCCACGCCCTCCCGGCCTGCCAGCACCGGCAAAGACGACCCCACGGCCGCCTGACCCGCCAGCATCGGCAGAGGTGACCCCACGGCCGCCCGGCCTGCCAGCACCAGAAGAGGCGACCCAAAGGCCACCAGGCTTCCCAACCTCCCAGCACCAACATGGGCGACAGCCGACAACGTGGCCGCCCGGCCTGCCCGACCTCCCAGCACCGACAGGGGCAACCCCAAGGAAGCCTGACCTGCCAGCACCCAAGGAGGCGACCCCACGGCCACTTGGCCTTGTAGCACCGGCGGAGGCGACCCCACGGCCGCCCGAATTGCCCGACCTGTCAGCACCGGCAGAGGCGACCCCACGGCTGCCCGGCCTGCCCGGCCTGCCAGCAACGGCAGAGGCTACCCCAAGGCCGCCAGGCCTGCCAGCACCGGCAGAGGCGACAACGTGGCCGCCCGGCCTGCCCGACCTGCCAGCACCGGCAGAGGCGACAACGTGGCCGCCCGGCCTGCCCGACCTGCCAGCACCGGCAGAGGCGACCCCACAGCTGCCCGGCCTGCCAGCACCGGCAGAGGCGACCCCACGGCTGCCTGGCCTGCCAGCAACAGCAGAGGCTACCCCAAGGCCGTCCGGCCTGTTCGGTCTGCCAGCACAGACAGATGAAACCCCGCGACTGCGCGGGGCGGACTGTCAGAACTGACAGGGACGAAAACGTGGCCGCCCGGCCTGCCAGCACGAAACAAAGCGACCCCACGGCCGCTTAGCCTTGCAGCACCGGCAGAGGTGACCCCACGGCCGCTCGGCTTGCCCGACCTGCCAGCACCGGCAGAGTTGAGCCCACGCCCTCCCGGCCTGCCAGCACCGGCAAAGACGACCCCACGGCCGCCTGACCCGCCAGCATCGGCAGAGGTGACCCCACGGCCGCCCGACCTGCCAGAACCAGAAGAGGCGACCCAAAGGCCGCTAGGCTTCCCGACCTCCCAGCACCAACATGGGCGACAGCCGACAACGTGGCCGCCCGGCCTGCCCGACCTCCCAGCACCGACAGGGGCAACCCCAAGGAAGCCTGACCTGCCAGCACCGAAGGAGGCGACCCCACGGCCACTTGGCCTTGCAGCACCGGCGGAGGCGACCCCACGGCCGCCCGACCCGCCAGCACCGGCAGAGCTGACCATACGGCCGCCCAGCTTGCCCGATCTGCCAGCACCGAAGGAGGCGGCCGCTCGACCTGCCCTACTTGCCAGCACCGACAGGGGCGACCCCACGGCCGTCCGACCTGCTAGCACCGGTATAGGCGACCCCACGGCCGTCCAGCTTGTCCGACCTGCCAGCACCGAAGGGTGCGACCTGACGGCCGCGATTGCTAAGCATGAAGCATGAAGTCTTAGCATGTAAAGTCGTGAGCTATTTCGAAAGGCATCTAGGCATCCGAAATGGAGAAAAGACGTTTTCGTCCTGGCGTATTTGAAACACCGCATGTTCGCCGATACCATAAGATCTCGCAAGCAAAAGAAGCGTAACTACGTAGTTACGCTTCTTTTGCATTTCGCTATGGAGCCGCGCGCTGCACATACGGTTGCCGGACTGGAGTGAATGTAGTTACGCTTTTCTTCCCTACATGCCTCGCTGCAATTTGAGCATCGAGTGAAAAGCAAAAACACCTTACACCTTTTTCTAGCAATATCTTATATGCCACGTAAAAAATATTAACACTGTTAGGTTCAGTGCAGTATTGCGAACAGTTTGACACCAAATTTTCTTTGATTGTTTAAGAACCGTCGATAATACAAGGTAAAACAGAAAAATCGCTCTCCTGAAAAATCGTCAAAAGCGAGTTACGCTTCTTTTCCTTTTCACGGCAGTGCTGAGGTGGTACCGGTCGCAAGAAGTCCAAGCGAGCTGGACACTACAAGCTGTCAGGATTTAAAATAGTGGAATGAGTCACCTCACTTACTCTTCGGCGACTAGCAGTATTTTCCATTCTGGTATTGAGGACGTGCCTATGCCACTTTTGAAAGTGTTGAGAGTCACCGTGTGTAGGGTGTGTAGCACACAGGTGCCGAGGGCCACCCCCAGCATAGTCTTCCACCCCTGAAATACAGAGAAAACACGGATTAAGACCTGGTGCTAATGTGACATGCTAATGTGACCTGCGAATGGTCATATGCGGACCTATTCCTTCATTGAAGCTCGCTCGCGAGACAAAATTCACACCGGCCATAAAAGGTACAATGGCGATCAGACCCCGTACAACTTACAAGACCTTTTCTATCCTGCTTGATAAGCCTCTCATTTTACATAGCAAATTACGAGGACATCAAATGATGAAAGTGCAAACACTGGGCAGTTGGGCACCGTTTCATGCAATATAATAGTGTCTGATTGTTAACGAAACATGTGGTTCAGTGACAAGCAGTTTGGCGGATGATAGCGGCGTCCACACTCAATGCATGCGTTTTGATTGGCTACTAAATAAGGCAGAAAGCAGTTTTAGCGTTATCGCCAATATCTTCAAGTACAGTGATAAGAGATGGTTCAGCTGTCAGATGAACTGGTCCCTTTCTCGGTTCTCCAGTTGTGACATTTTTATGAGAAAGCTTGTCATGACAACTGATCTGAAGCATTTTGTGTGAAAAGAGACTAAAATGTAAAGAAACCTAGGTATGCATCAAGGTTTCGAAGCCAAAGTCGTTAAGATCATGTCAGCAGTTACCCAGCTCAGTGCGGAAACTTATAATACCATTACAGACTGGTTCGCCTTCGCAAGGCAATACAAATTCCTGAAGATCAATCATAATTTTCCTGCAAAACCTCCCCTGCAGATCGACCCTGAGTCACTTTGCAGAGGTGTCCTACTGAATGGGTTTGCAGACTAAGAAAAGAGCCAAGTCCAATGCAAAAGAGCCGACCTTCACATATCACTGCGAAGCGAAACTGGTTTCTCAGTTATCTCGTTTGTCAATGCCATCTCTCGTGTTGCGTACCCCTGACCGATATCGTACTATGCCATTCGCCTCTGCATTCAACATTATCGTTAAAAGGGGTAGTGCTTTCGCACTCAGAATCGTATCTACTATCTATCATACTCATTTTTCAGAAATGATGCATGCCAATAACTAACAAGCACCACAGAATGCACTGGTATGTTATTATTTTGAAGAAAAAAAAGCATATGCCTCACATTCGATGTATTACAATTTATGGGTCATAACTGGTCGGAACAGTCGTGCAATATTTCAGCTTTCTATTCAAGCGCTTAACAAAATGAAATAGGTACCTAACTCAAGCCTAAGCTACACTAGCATGAATTCCGACGTTTTTTCGGTTTCTGCGGGATTTCGGTTCGCGTCATCAAGTTCGCCTCATAGCGAATGCATTGCGCAAGCTACACTGCCAGTCTGGCGTCCCGTGGAACGAAAACCCGCAAAAACCGACGAGTCGGAACCGAAAAAAAGTTCAGAGCTGTGAACTTTTTTTCGGTTTCTGCGGGATTTCGTTTTAGTGATGAATGATTAGAAGTGATTGTTGCTAATAATACTGTTACGATGGAACACTTTCAAATGTAAATGATGAAAATGGCGTAATTCATGATAAAAGAAGACAAGATGTGTTTCAAAACTCATCATTCTACTTCAAATATGATAACTGTAATTAAGCTGACAAATGATTATGATCGAAAATATATTCTTGTTAGTTGTAAAATCTTTAAAACAATTATTTAATTATAATTTTGTTAAAACACGATAACATTAAACACGATTAATTAATTAATTTGATCACTTATCCATCACTATGCTGTAAACAACACCGTCCACGCGGCGGCCGCCCGGAACGAAAAAACGCAGAAACCGTAAAAACGCGGAAACCGAAATCACGCAGAAACCGAAAAAACGCTGATAGGGTAGCCTGAGCTTCATCCTCCAACAAAATTATTTTGACCGTATCGAGCCACGAGCACCTAAAAGACCATTTAACTTCGCCATGTATAATAGACTAAGTGCCCTTTACTACTGACATCTGGACAATGAAGAACAATTCGTAACGTTATAAGTGAGGTGGCCACTTCCCAGGCAGGTCCCAAAACGTGTGAGAGAGTAGCTCCCAGCTGCCTGACCTGCCTATGTAACTAGTGTTTACTCACAGCACCCAGTAGGCGCGATAAGGTTCAGTTCCGGTGGCGCGATTGATAACACAGCGCTCGGCACATGTTGATAAGCGTGTTTACCAGAGGCTTACAAAACCCGGTTAGCTCTCGATAGGGGCCCCTGCGTTGATTAGAGCCAGTGAAGGCAAAAAGAGTACCGAATATATAAGCATTACGTCTAGAACACTTATCTGTGGCAAGTTGCAAGAGAAGCGAGACTTGATTTGTCTCGCACATCTTGCGAGACAAATCAAGTGCATAACTGAACACTTTAACAAAAGTCTGAAATCAAACATATTTGCAAACAATATAAGGTAAAAACAAATGATGACAAATGATGATAAAAAAAAAACAAATGAAGACGCCGTGCGTCGCTGGGACAAAGTTGGACGAAGAGAGCTAGGGGTTAAGACTACGGCAGGGACACTGCTGAACGCTGATCATCTGAGCATGTATGTCGGGACTAATAAGAAAAAAAAAACATTCACAAAATTAGGAACTAGAAAATTCTGGTAGATAGTTTTCCAACTCTTCCTAACTCAAGTACCCAATGCCGCCACACAATGCATTAATGCACATTGCATAACACATAATCTGCCGCCTAGCCGCTGAGTGGGCAGCGCGGTAAGGCCCGCGTGACCACAGCTCCCCCACCGCGGAGATCGTGTCCCATCGTGTGCAGTTTGCAGTGTGCAGTCGAGGGCAAACTGCAGAGTACAGGGCAAACTGGCGCCGTAACCCGCCGTAAGCAGCGGGTGGTCAACTACAGAGCTCTGCGCCACATCCTGCCAAACTACGGCGCACCAGGGACGAGCACATATATCTCAAGGCAAGATATGCCCACGGAAAACTTCCAAAAAGAAAATCTAAAAAGGTAACGAAAGTATAAAAGAAAGATGATATAAAACACATCTATAGAATACCGAAACTACAAAACGAAAACCAAACTACATGAAAAAGGAAGGCGTCTCTTGAAATCTTTATCTCCCGACATGATGTCTTCATAACCAAATTGATAAGTATCAATCATGCGAGAAAGAAAAACGGAAAACCCCAACGGTCGAAATCATACCCGATGGTAGGCCCCGTCACCACAAATAACCGGCTATCTGGTGATGAAATCGACCTACGCGAAATTTAAAATATTCAGGCAAAAGAATATCATTCGTCACCTTTCACCATGTCGAATACCAACTTTGCGAATCAAATCACAACATTCTCCTTACAACAAAAGAATCAGAAATGCCCATTCCCAATGATCATAAAAAGCTATCAAATAATAAATTCAGAGCTATAATACGGCAAGCGAAGAAGCTGGAACCTCAATGTTTCCGAACCAAGTGAAGTGTCATCGTGCAAAGCTATCTCCATGCAGCCAGTGTGGTCCAGTGAGTAGTTGCAGTGAGCGCTGTGCAAGCTACTCGGCTGGCCTCGGTCGGCCCCTACCTCGATCCGATTCGGTGTCCGGATTTACCTGTAGGCTGCTGTCATCCCGCGACGCCGTAAAGAAACGAAACATCAGCTGTAAGGAGGGCAACACGAGGGGGCCGTCCATTACTGGTCCCAGGGAGAGCCAGCCGCCGCTTCACAGGGCCGTTGCGGAGCTTACAAACTATGGACATTGTAGACTGGACCTTAGTGACACCATCACAAATGGCAGCGGTCCCCACCAACTACCCCGTCCTGGGTCTGCCTAATCGCTCGGCAATCTAGTTTGAGTAATCGCACGACTTTACCACAGAGAATGACACGTACAAAGGGGTGGCGCGCCCAAAGCGGGTTAGTTGACGCGTACTGATGCGAGACCGGCACGCCCACACACCCACCAACATTCACAGTTGCACCCCCGCTGTTAGTCAAAGCCGACTCACTAACCCGGGGAAACGCACCTACCGAAAACCGGCCCGGTTACCCGGCTCGGACTCGGGCGACGCTGCGAACGTACTCACCATGAACATTGTACCAGTTGTGTTACGTCGTCACCAATTCAATCAACAATTCAGCCAGGCCTGGAACAGAAAGACATGTGTAAGTCAGGGCCGCGGTGGCTCATTGATATACGCGTGTGTATATGGGAACGGGGGGGGGGGGGGCAGTCGGAGCTTGTCACACTCGAGCAGTTTTTTCTTTTATTTTCATGCCGCCAATGGAGCAAAGTCCCACCGAGCATGTCCAATGCTTTCTATGGGTCTATGGAACACTTTTTATTCCGTAAGCGCAGTCTTGCGAAATTCCCACTAAATCAGGCAAACGGTGAACCATGAGTGGGGATTAATAAGCAAATGCAATGCTTCATATACTATATTTTCAGAATATTGGTACCAGTGCAAAAAAAAAAGAAGTGTATGTTGAGAACCTGTGGTCTTGAGTCTTTCGACCGCACACACTCAATTATAGCAGCTGCCACTTGCCACCACAAGACACTCCCTGCTGCACCCTGCCGCCCCACGCGCACACCGGACGCACTCTGTTGGAACAGTTGGCTCACAGTTGGCTCACAGAGCGAAATATGGACCGTCACACCGTGACTGGGCGGTCCGTAAAGGGCCAGCGACCACGTGACTGGGCGGCGCGGACAGGGCCAGCGACCACGTGACTGGGCGGCGCGGACCGGGCGTCTGGTCGGCACACGGCGAGTCCAGTCCGCCGGCCTCCAATCTCCAGACGAGCCCACTCAAACCGGCGCTGACCGACTCGAACCCCGAACTTCAAACCGCGATCACAGCGTAAAGGCCTGGCTACACTATGCGTTTTCTTCGTGCGTTTTTTGCGTGTTTGCGTGTTTTGCGTGATATCGTTCTAGAAAAAAGAACGATATTACGTTTTTGTGATGTTTTTCACCTTAAATTTTAGTTACATAAGAGTTATATTAGCTTTTGTATATAACCAAAGTAAAAATTATATTGTTTATAACTTTTTCCTAGAACGATATTACGCAAAACACGCAAACCTGCAAAAACGCACGCAGAAAACGCATAGTGTAGCCAGGCCTTAATGGGGAGGAGCTGAGACAGCGCTGTGCCATACATACTGAGTGTTGAGTCATGGTGGGGGCCGATAGCCGCGCCGCTCGGCCGCTGGCCGCCAGACACGACTCGGTGGCGTGATGGGGGTGGGGTGGCCGGTGGCCCCTATCTATCACACCCGCCACGTGGCCTGGAGGACGTGATGGGGGCGGGCCGACGGCTCGCACTGAATATCTTCGTGTGCGCAAATATTCGAGCACAATTATTCGACCACTGCAGTCTTCGTACTCGCGGGTCTACGTCCATCCACATCAGGATATCTGTGAACATGACCCTTAACCCACAGCACTCCCTAACCCCTTCACCAAATGTAACCCAAAGATCCTCTACAGTCTACCCCTATCAGAGACAACAATTCCGAGAGCGTGAAACTATGGAGGTGAGTACGGGAGGGGGATCGAGACCAAGACATCCTGATCCCAGTTTGAGAGATTATATCAAAGGTAACGTTTCCTATGCGTGGATTAAAAAAAGGTTATGCGTGGACGAAATAATTGCGAACACAGATTGGTAGCGACGGAAATGTTCGAGCGTCATGAAGGCCCGAAAACAGTATTTCAAATGTATTTATAAGTCTTACATACTTATACGAGAAGGACAATATGTAAATATTTGCCTATATGAATATAAGTGAAAAATAATATTTGTGCAAGAGATTCTCAAACAAACGCAGACAAACCTCTGCTGACGAATATGTGGTTTGTCAGTCCCATTCTATAAAAAGGTTAAACACAGGAACCATTCAACTAACAACCAGTCAGTTTAACTGCATCGCATATTGAAACCGAAAAAACCTGGAGTAGAATGCCTCTTGGGGCTGCGGTGCACCATTACGGTAAGAAATCACCTTTCCCGCATCTGAATGCGGGAAAATCGTCCTTGCAGCCAGCAGTACCCACGCTTATCGTCCTTGTAGCAACCGGCTCCTGGAGGTCTTTGACGACTGACTAGTAGCCACTAGTCATATACCCTCGCACTCAGCGAACGTGGCTCCGCTGGCAACGAGGAACGCGCCGCATCGGTCGAAACCAGACTGGAAAACATCCACACACTACGCCGGACGCCCAAGAGACCCTCATCGCAAGTGATTTTGCGCTGAAATTTCTGCATGATTTGCGCCGAAAGTTGGGCGCCTATTTGCATCAAAATTAAGCAGCCATTACATAAAGCACAAGTGTGCACATCTACCGACCAAGGCTATGTTAACCAGACAGAGCGGTGCGGGCCTTGGACGCTCTCCCATGTCCGAATTAGTTGATGTTTCAATGGAAACCCAATACCACAATAAGCGTAGCGCACTGTATATAGGTACCGTCGTGCCGTGAAACAAGGCCCGGGCCGGAAGTTCCGGGGCCACAACAATCGGCGGGGCAGTGTATTCGAGGCTGGCGGACGCCGGCGAGGACCAGGCAGCGGAGCAGCACGTGCTCCAACACATCAGCCTCTTGTGCGAGCACCGCTTGTCCGGGCACTGCTGGCACGCCGCGGAAGGGAGACGGCAGATTCGGTGCACGTACTGGAGCGTAACTCGGCCGGTTCATTATGCGGCCTCGCGTCAATATAGCGCGACAACTGGTCCGAGTTACTATCCAAGCCACTCTTCGGGAGCACGCTGCCATTCCCCATCCCCGGAGAGGACAGAGAGGACGCGGTTTCGGTGCACCAGATGAGGGCAGGCCACTGGGGCCCCTTGCTCCAATACGTGCACCGAATCGGCTGTCTCCCCTCCGCTGTGTAACAGTAGTGCCCGGACAAGCGGTGCCCGAATGTGTGCTGCTCCGCTGCCCGGCCCTCATTGGCGCCCTGAGTGGAGGTGTGCCCACTGAGTGTCAATTAGTTCACTGTATCCGCACAGACGACAGAACATGGCAAGTGATTCTAGTCATTTATGACCTTGACTGGTAATGCATTTCACTGTATCTAGGTGTCAGTTTGGAGTTAAATAAAACACTGCAGATGTCCCCTTGTCCCAGGCCATGTGTATGTCGAAGAAGTCCTCCGGATTCGGGTCCTGCCATGCAGCGTTAGGTACCGTAAAATGGGGTGTTAAGGGACAGTTTTGAGGTGTTTTGTTATATAACTCAAGAAGGGTTGGAGATAGAAGCATCGAATTGTCAGCATTATATGTGGAATTTGGTGCTTTACATGCCTGCCACATTAAAGTTTTTAAGATTTATACCTGCATATTATTTTTTATTATTTTTCATCACTGTCCCTTAGCACCCCAATGTGGGGTGTTAAGGGACACCTATATTATTCCAAGAAATGGCCATCAAATTCCCACAATTGGGGTGTGGAGGGGCACACAATTTATTTATTGAGATGTTTTGCATATTCTGTCACAAAACAAGTCAGGTTCATTCACCACTAATGACCTTTTTAGCCAATTACGTGTAATGCTGTTTACGCTTGTGGAAAATGTGCTAATTATAAGGTAAACAGAACCAAAAAGTAATCTTCTGTCATCAATAAAAACTCATGTTGAAGCTAGTCACTTGTCATTATGTTGCCCTCTTTGTTTTGGCCTTTTTATGATGACATCACATTTACATACATCAGTCTCCATTGACCCATCATTGTAAAAGAGGGTGTTGAGATGTTTTGTTACATAACTTAAGATGTGTTAGAGATAAAAGCATGAACTTGCCAGCATTTTATGTGGAATTTGGTGTTTTCCATACCTACTGAAAGAAAACTTGATTAAATTATATTTAGATTTTATCTTTTATTTTTTCTTCCCGGTCCCTTAGCACCCCACATTCACCTCAAAATATGCATGTATCCGGAAAAGAGGAAGAGGATGATGAATGAATGGGTGGATTTGCACAAGTTTTTCAGGAAACATGTGCAATGCAATACATGTGACAATACACCTATGCATTCATTTTCCTGTATGTTTGATGCAGTCTTGCAATGCAATCCAGCCATCCAAGAAACTTTGCACGAGACGTTTTCTTGGATGGTTTTCTTGGATAGCTTGATTTCATCGAGGGCTTCTGTTTTAAAGAAAATTTGTAAGCTTTGCTGTACTGTTAAGTAATTAGAACTGCCTGTATTTCAGTACCCAACGTGTAGTTAACGTTACTGTATTTTATTTATGCAAACTTCGGCCTTTTTAAGCAGATAACGAACGATATTAGGAAACATACAGGAAATAATATCTAGGACTCTACCGCGACGAAATATTTCTATCTCGAGTTTTCAAAGAATTTCATGCACTCGGCCAAGGCCTCGTGCATGAAATCCTTTGAAAACTCTCGATAGAAATATTTCGTTTTCGCGGTATCGTCCAAGAATGTATATTCCCTGTACACCCACTAGTTTATGAGGTACACACAGAGTTTTGGAGATGTTTCAATTTTGTGAAAAGGTAGTATGATTTTCAAATCCATTTTTGAACCAAATCACTTGCATGAAAAACCATAGCATTTTGTCCTATGGTCAAGAGCAAAACAGTGTCAACTACCACACTGAAGTTTTTATTGAACCTTCTCAAATTAGGAAGTTAATATGACTCAAAGTTTTTCCCATGCAACTGTCCCTTAACACCCCACTGTCCCTTAACACCCCATTTTACGGTACTATATCTGGACACCCCAGTGAGGTTCATTTTAACGAGTGGTAAGATCAATATGAATACACAAACCTATCCGATAATACCTGTCTTCAGAAAGGTCATTATGAAATTGTTCCCAAATTCAGGTGCGGCATTCCCATAAGGAACACTGGCAGCGCCAGCACTCCCAAATTTCAATTTGAGAACACAGCCCAGGTGGTTAACTGCTTTAGAAATAAGAGAACTATTTGAAACTACACTGGGCTTTACAATATCAAACTCTTTCCCAACAATATTGAGACAAATATCAGGTGGTTCATGAATCATGATCATTATATCTTTTTGGACGTTCTATTACCTACCTTGACCTGCAAACCTGCAGAATTGGCCGGCTGGCAGCTGGAAGCTTAGATAACAATGCTTGGTGTACAAAAATGTTTTAATATCTGGTCTATCAAAAACAGTTATAGCTTTGACCACCTATAATGCCTATACCAATTCGACCCAAGGCCGTATAGAGAAGGTAAAACCGTCCCGGGGTTTTTGCCGCCCGAAAACTTTAACATTACGTGACGTCACTGGAGACTTCGGCGCTCCGACGGTCGGCGGCGCTGCATGGTTATGTGTGAGGGTTAGGCATCCCGGCGAGGCGTCGTAAATGAAGGAGTTTCGAGTACCTATTACACATTCATTATGTTTCATGGATTTACAGGAACGGCTACCCCTCTGCCAGCCCCACCTAACTGTAATGTAGCTCGCGGCCTCCCGCCTCGGACCGGTAGCCTGCTCCTCCCCGAACGCCATTCCTTCAGCCCTGGCGTGTTACGACCCCCCCCCCCCTCGCGTTTGGCCCCTGATTGAGCTAGAGCTTCGCGGAAAGAACGAGCGTGTTGCCCGTAAAGAGAGCAAGCCGATGATGCCCAATTTTAAGGTCCTAAGTCATCGGATGACCTCCCAGGTCAGGTCAATGACCCAAAAGTCAGGAAAATCGGGACCTGTTAGAACGTCGCAAAGGGTGGCTGCTATGAGGTTTTTCGGGGCGCTGCTCACGAATATCACGTTAGTTTTGATCACAGATGATGTCTTTATGCATTTAGGCCAGGTCGGGTCAGGTTGCAAGTCAGGTCAACCAGTGCCT